TTTAATGAAACATATGGAGCACACTCATCAGGGTAAGTTGCCATTGGGCTTGTTTATAATGTAGCAAACGCGCTACCTATGCAACCAAAATCAAAATTGTTAAAACATGCTTGTCACTCTGAAGTAGTTGTTGACAATTATGAATGCAAGAAACCTATTTTTATATAGGTGGGTATAACTGTGATGAACTGCAGCAAATGTGTCATACCGTTGATAAAGAGATCCTGTTTCGCATTGTAGACAAAAGATTATTATAAAAGACGGGCCTAGTTTGCGCTTACTCGTGTTGAGCACCAAATCAAATAAAAAAATGTAGAATGCTGAGCCCTCCATCCAAGAAATATAATGATTTGAGTCCTCACTGTAGGGCAAAATCAAATTCCTATGCTACAACTGTGTTTTTATGTGCACTGCAATGCAGCTCTGCCTTCGCATGATAGCAACATTATTTGTTCAAGCAAACGAAGAATATGAGGCCATTTTAGTTATGATTGTATGCGCAGGAGGTAAAAATTTTGGTCTAATCCTTTTAACGATTCATGAAATTTAGTTGGAATTTCCTACCTAGGTTAATTGGTTTTGTTATTTTCCCAAATAAAAGATAATTTTAATGTACACTGTGCGGAAAAGCTCTTTCCTGTCATGGCACACCAAACCAATACCGTTCAAATATCCACGAAAGTAAGTCACACAATTGCGGTCAATTTGGACGACTTATTACGCATAAACTATTTTAAGGAGGGTGTTTAGACACCAGGAATGCAGAAACTGATTTATCAAAATGACGGGTTTTTGTTATTTTACGTTTGATGAAGTACATAAGTCAGATGCTTTCGTCTTAATGAATCATTTACCAACCGATGGGATTTAGGCTACCACATCTCTGCACTTTATAAGATCTGCTCTAATACCCCTTAAAAGGTCCTTAAAATTATCTCAAGTCCAATTAGGTTCGATAATTTTGTTTTAGGTAGAAGTCATTTGTCAATCAGCATTGTCATAAAGAGTTCAGGAGTCGCAGCAAGCTGAGCGATTGCATATTAAAGGTTCTCGATAGTGAAAATTCCTAAATTTGATTCTTCATTATCTAATAAACAAATTATTTTTGGTGTCTAAGGCATTTACTTTCGGGATCGCAAAATTTTAGAGAGGACGCTGTTTACCTGCCAATATTGCTCTACAACCTTCTTGCGCCGAGGCAATTTAAATCTTCACATTTCTGAAGTCCATGAAGGTAAGTTAAGTACGTCCTAATATTAGTCGTAAATTTCAAGCGTTTACTCTTAGTTATTATGTACTATTTATCTCCTCAATTTCTGCTTTTGTAGGGTGGCTTTAGTACTGCAAGTATTGCAATGAATCCTTCTCACAGCGAGGCTACATGAACAGACATATTACTGTAAAACATGGGAAAGCCTTAAATAATTCCTAAAGGTGCCTTCATTTTCTTGTATTTTTGCCTGCATTTAAACATAATTCTGTTCTATCTACTTCGTCATACCCTTGGGGAGGTCGTTCAATGAGATCATCTCCTACGTCTTATTACAATTTACTCAAAGAGGGAAGCTGTTTTGAATTTTCGTATTGTAAAATAATATTCTAACCTCTTGGTAGGTAGCTTTTCCATATTAATGGGTGTGCGACATAATTTTTCTGTTTCCTAATTCTTTAATTAGGATATGCTATAATCAAGTGATCATTTGTAAATGATGCGAGAAACCATTTAATACTACTGCGAATTTAGCTGTATTTTGGGAAGCTAAATCCACTATGAGGCGTATTAGAATAAAGGAATTGCTGTTACACGAAACAAGCAAATTATATATTTTTAAAAATTGTGCTGCAACCCTTTAGCTACGAAAATTTTTAGGGCTACCTAAAATGCTACTATTACTACTTTAAAAGCAAAGCCATTAACTTTGAGGCCGACTTCTTTAGCTTCCATATTTAAAAGCATATTTTACGACATTTTAAAGGCTAATATCTCACTTTACCAGCTCCACATACTAATACTGGTACCAAAACGCCTTCTTTAAAGGAAAAAATAGAAATGCATGTATTATACTCATGGTTAAATGCAAGGATTCGTGAGTTCACCTCACTCTTCTCACTTTCTTCCAGTACAGAAACACGGACATCACATAGCTCACCTTTTGTCGTAGGAAAACACGCTCTCAGGCCTTATGCCAATCAAGCGAATCACCAGCATATATGCATGTATCATCAGTGGCATCATCGCATGCATGCTTCTTTTAATATGATGGAAGCATTGTTTTTTGTCTGATTCAGACAAAATGAAATTCGCCTGCTTTGGCGTTTTGTGCTTACCTCAAGCTTAAATCATGCTATGTATTAAGAATAAATAAAGCTTATCTCTTTAAAACAGTTTGTCGTGCAAAACTTACAAGCGTGGTTTAACTTTAAGTTATGTATGCCTCCCTAGTAAGCAATTGCTCCTAATACATAATGTAGAAATCGACTAGTTTATAAACTGACCCCATAATAAGAACCAAATGTAGTGCCAAAATTGGAATTGCTTTACATCTCACATGAGATCAAAATGCATTTTACTAAAGAAAAGTATATCATTTGTTCTTTTGAATTGTCACCAGATTATTGGGTTTTAAACTAACCAAATGACATTCTCAGCAAAGTTCACTTTCTCCAAAAGTAAATGGAAAAACTATACTACCAATATAACCACTGATCTCTAACCTACAACTTTTTATTTGAATCTAGTGAAACATTTAAGGAGTTGTTAAAGTATACATTTAGAAAAATAACAAAATATCCTTTGATTTTGAGGATTTTAATAAGTTGAACACCTATGCAGTATGAGCCCTTTTTGCAGGATACTTGTTATGCCCTTTTGATCGGAGAATGCTTCACATCTACACACCATATATCTTAGCTCTAGATTTTGATCATCATTAATACCTGTGTCAGTTAATGATGCAGGCAAAAGAAGTCACACTACTTTTATGTGGCAAGTAGAAAGGAGTGCAAATACAGCGGTCGGATCTGCTGTCAAGACACTTGAAACGACGGTCTAAATCTTTTGAAACAGTACGGGATATTTTGAGGACAACCAAAACTGCTTATTGCGGTCTATTCCACCCAGTTCAGGACAAGAACCAAACGAAAATAAGAGTGCTGCTAACGACAATGCAAAATTCACTTAATCGCAAACTCATAGTGACTCAAGTGTGTTAAGTTACTATCTTGCCACTTTGTGATATTCTTAGCTCTTAAGTGCCTTTAGGTCTGTTTTTGATGCCCGCTCTTTTCTGTTCGCTATTTGTTATTTATTGGTGCCATAATATCTTGTATATATGTGTTAGTTAACTGCTGTATCGGACAAAACTATTGCATAACATATAATGTATGCATTTCGGGGGAGTTTTAGGAAGGTAATGTACTTATATTTGGTGTGACAGAATAGAGGGAAGACAGATTTGATAGTGCCGTGAGGAGGATAAGCAATGAACAAATACAGAAGAGAACTGAAAATGTAATGAACGACTATTAATTCGAATTCTTTATCCCATAACCATTCCTAAATTATAATATATAATTCGCAACAGTAAGCCGAAGAGTAACATTAGGAGAAAAAAGAGTTCCGAATTTGGCTAAATTGACTAAATAAAAGTCCAAGCAGTGTATAAATTCGAAGTTTCTACAAATTTCAGTAGTAGAAGTTTGATGGTGCTATATAGTTTAAATGGCATAAACTGCTTTTTTTATTATCTGATCATTATTTCTTTCTCTTTTTCCAACATTACTGCATGCACTTACATGCTTTTGCCAAAACTCAATGTTGATATTTATCAAGTGAATAAATGAAGGATTCCTGAAGCTATCCTGGAAACACATAACAGCGTTTTCACTATTTTGATTATGTAGCGTGGATTTTTACCCATTAGGCATAGTGCAGAGCACATAAAATAAACATAAGGATAAAAGTGGCGAAGTCTGTAGCATCAAAATAGATGCCTAGGTAAACAACCATTAAATTTGCAAATGCCTTTGCTAATGGGATTAAGCGATGTAAAATAATGTAAAATACAAAACAATTTTTTAGGTGTCTTGTACTTATTTTACAGAGTTGGACTTTATGCTGAAGCTCTTTAGGCGAAAGCATTTTTGCACGCCACGCATGAAAATGTTGTTTAGTCTGTCATGCTTGCAAATTCTATTACGCTGAGCATTTAGCAAACACGGTGCAAATACGAAAGGTGTAAACAAAATCATTCGAACCTGTGCTACAAACATTTCATTCCCTTTTCTTTACTTTACCCTATTTCAAAGAGAGTGTAATCGCTCTGCAATTCATGGAAAAACCTCGGTATTTTCTTTACTGATTTACCAGCACTAAAGTTCATATAGGCATGTTTGAACTTTTTAGGATTATTTTTTATAGAAAGATTCTCGTGCATCTTCAAGGTGTACTGCATTGTATCACCTCGAACAGATAGATATCAGTCGAATTTTTTTATATTTGGTAGTGCACCACACCAACACCCATAAGATAAGCATTTCGAAGTGCGTCGCGCAAAACATGGATTGGTAGGGTCATCTCTGCACTCCCTACTACTTACTTTAATTTGAGTAGCACCTAATTAATTGGTTGGCTTTAAGTGAACTGATAAATTGACAGACCTTAAGGTACTGCCTACCTATCTGCCTTCTCTTCATCCATCTATTTGCCATCCAAAAATCCATTAATTTTAATGGTCTGAACTATCCAGAAATGGGAGAACAGCTGTTGACAAGGGAAGTAGCAGATATGTTAATGAATTAGCGCGCCCCCAGAGTCCGAATGCACCGTTAAATCGACCATCCGAGGAACAGCCATGCTGATAGATACACATAAATAGCGCATAAAATCAGCACATTTGGTGAAAAAGGACAAATCTGGAATGGCAGCTAGTTTTGGGAAGTTTATGCCACAAACAAAAACAATATAAGTCTTCCTGAATTAATTTACTTGGATTAATAATTTATAGTTGCTTACTCCAACTTTATCCATCAAAAAGAATGATAGGTGCAAAGCTCTTTTACACTTTTACGAAATTTTTGTTTGGATAACCGATGAAACATTTAACTCCATAACTTTCGCCTTTTCTTCACATCTTCATTGCCCTCTGCTCACTCCATTTCCTCCCTGACCAATAATTTGGAACTTTCTAAGGCAAATGTTGGTCGCTAAGAGAAAATAGAGATGAAGATTAGGAAATGCTCCGTTTCCTTACTTCCCTATCAGGGTGCATAGAATTCTAGGCCTCAAATTATGCACCGGTTTCGACATCATTTTAACCATGGCACCGT